TCTAGCTGGGAGATTGACCCCAGCAGCTAAGGTAGATGTAGCAGTTAAAATACGTACAAGCCCCTACGGTAGCAGCTTTCAACAATCTCTCTTTCCTCAACGTGAAGGTTACAAAAAAGTTACTTCGCCCTTCCAGAGGTATTGGAGTATAAAGAAGAACTAGCAACTAATTACAATGAAACTCAGAAACTGGGAAGAAACCAAGGTGGAAAAAAAACAGAACTTGTTGACCCGAGACTCACTCCCACCATGCATAGCAGGATCTAACTTGGAAAAAGATAAAGAAAATAGTGATAACAGACTAGAGAAAGCATACAGTGAGGCCAGCATGATGATAGGCAACACCAAAAGGAAGAGTTTCTTCTAATATGGGATCAACTCCAGCTGGAGACCTTTTCAAGGCATCAATAGCTGAAGCAATGTCTACAAAGTCACTGTTATTTTCACGGAAGCTAACAGAAAATTTTGTGATGAACTTTGCCACATGCCTTGCAGTTGACTCGCATCCTTTTCGACTGGAACAAAATATTAGCACTGAATGACCCTCTTGAACAACCTGAGATACATTCCGAGTACACATAACCTTTCAAAAACTCCTATAGCTACGATATTGGGTAATGTTAAAGTACAGAAGTTAAAAAGAACAACCCAAACAGTGTCACCTCATTGCATAGTTCCACTATATGATCAGGATCTTTACCACCAAGGTCTGCTGCTTTTGGAATTGTTCTAACAATTTCTAATCTTTTGTTATAGATAGAGTCACCAATTTTAATATATTCCTCCAAAGGAACTGGTCGATAATCTGTCTGGTACAGTGCTGCCTGTACACAAAGTTGCAAAAGGTAGTAATTATCAAACAGGAAAATAAATTCGACGAAGGAATAACCTAGTATCATCCCTCCAGAAAAGATATAAAAAGCGCCAAAATTTTTAGTGAAAATGTTTCTCTCACCTACCCTAGATCAACCTAAAGTTAATATACAAATAAAAAAAATAACAGAATAACACATCCTTCCATCTTCCTTCTGAAACCCCAAACTATTGGATCAAGTACATTAACTTCCTCGATTAAGTCATCAAAGTCCAACAAATTCCATCCACAATTGACAATTAATATTAAGCTTTATCATATAGCAAAAGAAACACTAGAATAATCTTGTACTCAGGTGGCCTCAATCTGCATATGAGTAAGAGCATACGGCCTGCTCCTTATCTAGTTCATCGACACGATACTCTAATACTTTACAAAAGAACATTATAGAATGGAAAGAGAAACTATAAAAGAGAAGGACATGATCAGATATCCTCCAAACTTAGAAAAATAAAAACATATACGAAATGGAGATATAATTCATTTGCAAAGCATATAAAGACATACCCCTCATAAACTGTAAGATTTCACCCAAAGAGAACCAAAGGAAATTATCCTCCTCCATACTATGTGTTGCAATTGAAAAAGATGCTTAAAACTTCCAGCATTCATTTCCAATCAAATGACCAATAAACTACAAAAAATGTCCCCCCTGCATAATGCCTTGTGCTCTTTGGCCCTCCCTATTCAACAAAGGGAAGTAGAGATAACAATCTCCAAATGTGGGAGATGCCAACCGAACCCAAACATAAAAATATAATAATAATCTAATCCACAAATTCCAGGCCAAAAAACAATGGAGAAACAGATGACAGTTGCTCTTGGACTCTGAAAACACACCAAACAAACGTCAGGAGAAAGAGCCCTATGACAACTCTGACTTCTATAAAATATAATTGGTGTTAGTCCTATTCAAAGTAGTAGCTCATAGAAAAACTCTAACCTTAAGAGGGAACCAACACGATACTCCATTAAGCATGTTGAGTTCCTTTTCATACCGTTTCGGTGATGATAAATAATAATATATGGTATTTAATTCAAATACAAATTCACCAATTTCATGCTAAAAATTTTATAAGAACTAGAACCTATATGAGTTTGTTCAAATTATAAATGATCAACCGTTTGATTAAAAATGGAAACAAAATTTGTAATTTAAATCTTCTAACAGCTAAGAATCTTGAATTTCAGCTGATTTGTCTAAGGTACCAATACTTTGAGTTAGTTTATTCTGCATGCACCAGTTCATCTACACGGAAACACAGCAAATCTGACCTGAAATTGCAAGTTCATTTTATAGGTAATATCATTTCAATTTCCATCTGTTAAGACACCCCTTCATATAAATAAGAGCACCAAGGAAGTTCACCCACAAGAATGACAGAAAATGAGTGAATATGAGCATTAAAATTAAGAGCTATTATGCTCTCACTAATTCCTGGGTGCGTGAAATTCTTTTGTAGAGAAATCTTCATGCGACTATGCTTAGTAGGAACAAAAGTCTAAACAGGACCGTTTTTACTTTAGTTACTAAAAAATAAAAAGGCATAGGGAACTCTTTGTAAATGATGTAGAGGGCCTAAACTTTCATGGCAGACTAAGTTTAGGAGAAGTGATTGTGTTGCATCCAGTTAGAAAGCATTGGTCTAGGTTTGTGAGAAATTAAGTCTAGCGAAAGTAGTCATACTTCAGCCATTAAAAGTAGTGACAATATTGACTATGCTTTTGCCATCAAAAGACAATGTATAGTTTTCACTTTAGCTAAAAGATTTAACTTCTTAAAATTGAGAATTAATAAAGTGGATACAAGTCAATTGGAGAACTAAACAATCTAAAAATTGTTGCCAACCCAAAAACTCATATTGAGATTTCAAAGATTTCTCATATTTAGTTTTCACTTAATTACCTATTTCATCGCATCTTGATGATAATCAACTTTGTCAACAAAGGAAGGACTTGGCTCACCATGGGACAATAATAGAATTTCATAGAGCTAAACAAAACATAACATAACAAAGAAAAGTCCTGTGTTTGGTGTCTATGGGATTGGTAATGACAAAAATAATGATCAATTACCTAAACGTCATCATATTAAGTTTTATATTTGCAAGAATTTTAAGTATAGAATTAAGAATTAATAATTTAATAATATTTGAAATGATAAATTTAATAA